CCCATCTCTAAACCGTTACATTAGTGTCCCGACCCTGTGTGGACGACGCACGCTATCTTCGGATATCACGGAGGCATGGGACGCCACCAGGCAGCACCACACGTTATGCCCGAGCGGTTGGCGTGTCCGGCTTCCACGTGGTGGGTTCGGGTTTGAATTCCGGTCGCCCCACGGGCTCGTGATGAGCTCTAGCATGATCGCAGCAGCCGCTGGCGCGCAATAAAAGGGCGCGCCTGCGTGGTGCTTCCCCCCCCCCCCCCCCAAGCAGGTGAGGCCGTGCGATTCGTTGCGACCCGGCCACCGCTCATCAGCTGTTGACTTCCAGTGATTTTGTATTGGCTACTATCGAGGTCGACGTCATACTGCCACCAGAATATCGTCAGAGGACCTACGCAAGTTCGTCGCCAAGCTGTGGGCGACATTTGTGGAGCAAACGAGGCCAGCGGCGCACTGGTGATGCTTTCCAGCATCTGCTAACGAGACTATCTCGAATAAGATATCGAATTAAATCCTTGCGTCTGGAACCACTCCGAGCACCAAATCACATGACGCGTGAAGGGCGAAGGGACACATAACGTGACAAAATACAGCGCATGCCAGCCATGACCCGGAGGCCCGCACCGGAGCGTCGTCGGTGTACCGAACCGGCCAACCGTCGCTGGGCTGACCGGGAGGCCCGCACCGGAGCGTCGTCGGTGTACCGAACCGGCCAACCGTCGCTGGGCTGACTGGGAGGCCCGCACCGGAGCGTCGTCGGTGTACCGAACCGGCCAACCGTCGCTGGGCTGACTGGGAGGCCCGCACCGGAGCGCCGTCGGTGTACCGAACCGGCCAACCGTCGCTGGGGTGACCGGGAGGCCCGCACCGGAGCGTCGTCGGTGTACCGAACCGGCCAACCGTCGCCGGGCTGTCAGGTCGGGCCACCTCAGATCAAGCGTACGTAGACGCGCCAACGCTTAGGATGCATGGATGCATTGGACGGCGAATATGCCCGGCCCTCCAAGGCCGTCACTGCTGTGAGCAGGGTGGCCACACTCCATTGTGCCGCCGTGCTGCTCACGTCTGGACTGTGGTGGCGGACGTCAGTATTTGGCGTCTGGGGGAGGGAAGGACAGGGGCGGGGGAGGGCAGCCAGAAGTCCAGGCGCAAAACCGGGCGCTCTCTGAGCCCAAGCTGATCTGGTTGCAGGCCCCTAGGCCTTGGAATAATAGAAGCGCCGCTACGGCCAGGAAGGAGGGCATGCAAAGCAGCAAACGTACGCGGTAGCACCTTCGGCCCGGCTAAGATTCGGACTGGGCGTAGCTTACACGCCAACTATAGCGTGATTTGTCCTCGTACCGCAACAAACTCCCACACTGCACTGAGCGGGTATCACCAAATGCGTTAGGTCGTGGTGTGATCAACCCTTGAGGTTGGTGACCATCAGCGGTAACGAGCTGAATAAAGATACGTGCTACATTTGCGTCCAGGACCTAGACCAGCGTCCAGCGGGCCGTGCAGTCTTGGTCTCCAACACACCGACGTTTCGGCGTCGGTCCCGTGTGCATAGGTGGATAACATGAAACTATTCGATGCATGAGGTGACAAAAAATATACGACGATGTTTTACACCCTATGCTGAACACGGGGCTTGACTGTGCTTGTCTAAAGGCACGCATCACCCCTAACGCCAATAGTATTGCAATTTTCACACTCCCTGCACTACAGAGAACAGAGGCTCCATGCACACCAAGTCTCACACCAGAGCATAAATGTACAGGGAGGTAAGGCTCACACTGAAAAGATAAAGCCAACAACTGAAATATTATCACAATTATGTGTGAATCCATAGGACATCTTGAGACTGATACCGTGGAATGGGTCCTCTGGATTTCCTAAAATGGGCTCTGATTTGATGGGTGAGCCTGTGCATCCTTGCACAAAGTGTGCCCCAAAGACCATAGATGAGCTACTGGACTACTGGTAACTACAGGCTGGTTGCAACTCAGCTTGCCTCTGCCTGCACCATCTTCAAGTATCACGCTTCCTTTCTGTGCAATGAAGAAGTTTCCAAGAATACTAGCTGGTAAATAAGGCTCACTTGACTGGTATTACCACTCTTACCCACATTGTAGAAACTAACACTTCACCAAGTCAGAGATGCCACTGCATCTCTGACTTGATTGGGGGACTGCTGGACTCTGGTCACCCCCTCCCCCCCCCCCAACTCTGGGGAGAAAGTTGACCAAATCCAGCCAGACACTGATTTGTTGGTTATTTTGGGGTGGGTTCTGTCATTTTGAATGTTTGCCCTTAATACACCCTTCCTCCCCCCCCCCTCCCACCTCATGTGACAGATTCACACACATCTGAAGCCAGCATGAAAACATGCCAAGATTAAAATTGATGCCTGAAAACCTTTTACTTTAGTTGCAATTTGTCAGGCTGGTTTATAATTTTCTAATTAAATTAACAGCATTTAGCATGACATGGCTGAAGGCACATGGTGCCCCTGTGAGGAAAACAGCCACTGTTTGGCAATAGCTGTCTGTTAAGCCCAACAATATTAGAGCTAGCAGTGTGTTTCTCACACCAGCTAGACATCTTCAAACACAGAAACATCACGTGTGCCACACATGTCCCCTCGGGCTGAGACATGTCACTTCACAGGCGGGAGCAGATGACAAGTCAGTTGGCTGGCATGAGAGCTGGCTTAACGTATCATGTCATTCTCAGCACCTTTAACCCTTGTTTAAAGAGATGTTTTCCTTTGCCCTCTGTGGAGGCCTCAGAGCCTTCCCCTTCCCCTCCCCAATATCTTGTAAACTATAGTGGGTTGGTCATGCAGAAAATGGCACTGAAAAGCTTGTGTCTAATGTACAAGACAGATGGATCTGAGCATCTGGACATGATGGTAAATGTGACCTTTGATGGGTCAAACCAGGCCAAATGTGTCAAATCTGTTCTAATCAAGAACTTATCCGGAAACATAAATGGGATAGAACAGGGTTAGAAGGGCCCTCTTGTGTCATAAGATTTGTAAGACGCAACCGGAAACATAAATGGGATAGAACAGGGTTAGAAAGGCCATCTTATGTCATAAGATTTATGGCTTAAATCAGACCATCACTCAGCCTTCAAGTTATTAAATCTGATCACAAAAGGTAAGGTATGGCCTAGCTTGACCTTAGAAGACTCGACTTTTCAATAGCCACAAGAATGATGGCGATGCACTTAAAAGATCACATAACATTGGCTGTTAAAATCCTCTTGAGTGCATTTCCTCTAAAATGAAACTTATTTGGTGCTTCTGAGCAAATGGCACTTGCATGACCTTCAGGAAGAGATCATACCCCAGCCATGCATGCTCATCCTCAGAAACTTGAAATTTTCACAAGATGTATACAAATTATGGGAACACAGGTAACAAAATTATAATGTTACACTAAAAACAATTTTGAAGTTATTCAAGAAAGCTCAGAAAGGCCAATAGGATATGGGTTAACTAAATATGCCACTTGGGAAGCACAAAACACATACTTATTTCATCCTGCATAGAAATGGTCACACTCATATATGATCCACTAATCTGGTCTAAAATTTGAAGCATTAATAATTTACTTATCTATAAAACCTATATCAACACTTAGAATTAATGATGATTTTGTTACAATATGCTTGATCAACTAACAAAAACACAAGAGCAAGTGTTCACATATCTTGTTCTCTGGTGCCTTGCCTGGTGACTTTGATAATCACACCACTCTGCTGTGATGCAGATCTTGCAAGAGACTGTCAATCTGAAGGTAGCAGCCACTGCTCCCATACTTTATTTCTTTTCATTGTAAAACAGCTATTACCTGAAGACAAATACCTGTTTCAATAGCAACACATGTTGCAGGTTTTGAGAGCAAAGGTTGCAAACAAATATTGTTAAGTCTGGGGCAGCATTGCAGCAGGGACAAAAAATCAGAAGCAGCTATAAAGGCTGCTTTAAAAGCTAACAAGTTCTGCTAGTCACTGGCACAGTATGCATACTACATGTGATGCTTGTGCTTGAGCCCAAGTGGGGTCAGGCCCAGCCTCAGAATCAATAGCCTGTCCTTTGACTCATAGTGAAATAAATTCTCTCATGTATTGATATGAGTAAGTGCTTGAGCCTACTACTGAGAGATAAATAAGAAATGAGTTATGCATATATAATTACATATTAACAATATCTATCAGACACAAAACAACTTAACATATGCAGACAAGCTGAAACAAGGCACTGTGTTACAGGGCTATCTTACTAGGGAGAATAAACAGTATCAGGTTCCATACAGCAAGGATGGCATGAAGAAACATGGAACAGAAAGAGCTGTTTGAATAAGCACCTACCTGAATGCTGACAGCTATGATATCAACTCAACGGATCACTCTTCTGGGTGGTCGCTAAGGAACACGTCAATCGGTTAGCTAGCACGGGTAGGCACTAGCCACTTGTCAGGAGCCCTGTGGTTATGTTGTTCAGTTTGTATGTACTTGGTCTCAGCGCTTTGAGAGGCTAAAAATAAGCTATCGCACTTAGTTTTACGCGTGTCAGGAAAAGCACCAACTTTTCTCAGTGCTGGTACTAGTATCACTTAAGTTTCAACGCTCTCACAGGCAACCAGCCACCACCCTCCCGCATACGTAAACGCGCTGATCTTCAAAGGTTCCTCCCAGCTGTTCGTGGGCCGTGTCTGCGTCATTGCTTGTAACATTTGCGCCGTTACACAGAACACAGATAATCATTTTATAATATGCCCAAGTTTCTCGCTGAGAAATAGATAAAAGTTGTAAAGAGAAAATGAAGTGATTGCTGTGATCTGCAATTTGCTTTCATTCATATGAATGTATCAAAATATATTTTCATAGAGCCATTGAAACCGTTATCAACGGGATTTAATATTCGTCTTGAGCAAGTGTTTCGTATTATACGAATATCACGCAAGAAAGACGGACGCTGAGATTGGAAGCCGCGCACACGTGCACGTGTGATCGGTGGGTCGTTTTGGGTCCCGTCCGAGGTTGCCGACGCATGTGTCTTTACTACATTGCTATTGGTGTTGATATGACCATGAATGAAATACGGGTTATGTTCGCTTAGGTGTCGAGTCAGGTTCTTACCAAAGGCTGCAGGGTCCTGTTGGTACGTCGAACAGTTCCATTCCGGCGTCTGTATCAAATCGTGGCTATATTTCAAGCATTGAACAAGATACCCACATGGATGGCATAGCAATGCCAGTGGGTGCTCCCAAAAAGGAAATTGGCAGGCATCCCATCGCACCCAAAATCCTCAGTCTCTTCACCAGTCTTACAGACAAGGATGCTGAACAACGTGTTAAAGCAGCTTTGCTCCTTGTTCAGCAAGTAGCATCATCCGAAGAACATAAGCAGGTAAAGTGACATTGAAAGCTGTGCTAGTTGCTGGTACAATTTACACACTTGCTTATGAGCCTTATAGCCATTAAAATGCACAAAGTCTGACTATGCCAAGTTATATCTATTTTATGTGCAGTTGTATTAGTTGTCAGTGGCACAGTTGTATAGTATCAGTGTTAGGAATGTATCGCCTTAGAAGTCACCTTCGCAACCATCATTATTCCATGAAAAATTGGCCCTCTATGCTCTGAAATCTGTGTCTGCCACATGCCTAACTCCGAACTCTTGGCATTGTGGTGCATATGCACTGAAATTTTTGCCAGGATGGGATAGGATCTGAAAGTATAATTTTCATGGTAACATGCATTTATTGTGGCCTGGGTATCAGGCAAATTAGATGAGAAAGCCTACTTGAGCTCAAAAATCATTGTGTTTTGTCTGGTTGGAGAAACATGACACATGAAGACATCATGCTGGACCTGCAGTATGCATGCTTAACTCAGGCAAGGCCAAATTTCATAGAATTTTCCCATCTTTTTTGGGTTGAAAAGGGTTTGAATGCTTTTTGTCTTGCCTGGCACCTCCCTATTAATGTTATGTTTCCTTGAAACATTGGCTTCCTATGTGCTAGAATCAGTGGTGACCATACCAAACTTGGGGCTCTGAGATTCATGGCATGCATACACTTCAGGTGTTGCATGATGTCATCTAAGTGTGGGACATTCAGCATACTGATGAGTTAATTGAGAATTAAGATTGTACACATTGTATTGTTACTAGCTGGCTACTTCTTCTGTTTCTGATGACTCAGTCAGGGTATACATTGCTACCTCATGTTAAGAAAGAGCATTGTACATCAGTCATCATTTGTAAGGCAGAACATGTTGTAATTAATCATCAAACAGGTCATTTAAACTCTTACTTGGAACTTAAATAACTATGATAGCAAACATCTGAGTGCAAACACACAGCAACAATGACCCTGGCACCATTTCTATGTGTGATCGCAACATTATTGCCTGTCACAACATTACTGCCCATCAAGAACCATAAAAAATGTATGAGGCCAAGGTAACAAGAGTCCAATAAAATGTGTTTCTTGTATATCCAATCAGTGTTCCATATTGTTTGTAGATTGGTCAACATGGTGGGGAAATATGATGTTTTTGGGTGGGAATGAAAAGTAAAATGAGAATATGGCAGCTAAACAAAACTTCTTAATATGGTACATATATATGGCAGGGAACATGGATGCCAATGGGACACTGGGTTGAAGGGGATAGGGTGGGGGGTTAGGTTTGGTTAAGTTAGGTTAAGTTAGGTTAGGTTAGGTTAAGTTAGGTTAGGTTCATTGTTAGGCTAGGTTAGGTTAGGTTAGGTTAGGCTAATTTAGGCTATGTTCTGGACTGTTCTGGCCTGTCTGTTTCATAAAAGTACCTAGATGCAGTAAGAAACATTTTCATTGCATTATTATTGTTGCTTTGGTCCCATGCATTTTTTATGGTTCTTGACAAGCAGAAATATTGTAATTACACAACGACAACGCAGAAACGGCGCTGGGGAGTCGGGGCGGTGGGGTGCATGCAGCGCTCAGGAGCTCGCTATCGTAATTGTTAAAATTTGGAGGTAGGAGCATGAATCTACCAGTTTCAAGATTATTTATATGTTCTGCCTTGAACACAACAAATGGTGTACAATGATTTGTTCTAATGTTAGATACCCATGTATACCTACACTGACGACTCCTGTGTACAGCACCTGACTACTCTTCACATGCTCCCCTAAGCAGCACCCGACTACATGTCATATGTTCCTCTGTGCAGCACCTGACCATGCTTCTCATGCTCTCCTGTGAAACACCTAACTACACTTTGCATGATCTCCCGTGCAGCTCCTGACTACACTTCTCATGTTCTCCTGTGCAGCGCCCAACTACACTTATCATGCTCTCTTGTGAAGCACCTAACTACACTTTGCATGATCTCCTGTGCAGCTCCTGACTACACTTCTCATGCTCTCCTGTGAAGCAGCCAACTACACTTCTCATGTTCTCCTGTGAAGCAACCAACTACACTTCTCATGTTCTCCTGTGCAGCACCCAACTACACTTCTCATGTTCTCCTGTGCAGCACCTGACTATGCTTCTCATGTTCTCCTGTGCAGCACCTGACTACGCTTCTCATGCTCCCCTGTGCAGCACCTGAGAGCACTCCTCACACTTCCGTGTGCAGCACCTGACCACTTTTCTCATGATCCCCTGTCCTGTAGGACTGTGATGTGCTGAGCCAGGATGCCAGTTACTGCCTGCGGCGGCTGGTGCGAGGCCTGTCTTCATCACGGGCTGGCGCGCGCGAGGGCTTCTTCACGGCGCTGGTGCAGCTGCTGCGCCAGGTGCCGGCCGTCGGTGCCGGCCAGCTGCTATCAGTGGCAGCTGCGCAGCTGCCGGACGTGCGCGAGGACCGGCAGCGCACCGAGCACCGACTGGGTCGGCTGCTGGCGGCGGGTGCGGCCGTGCGCGCCGGCCGGCTGGACGAGCAGCTGGCTGAGCTGACCTGCCAGCTGCTGTCCGCCTGGACATACCGCGCCTACATGCCGCCCATGGTCGCCAGCTTCGTGGCCGAGCTGGTGCAGAAGGTGCGCCCCACTAAGTGGCAGGCTACCGGAGAAATCCTGCTGATGATGTGGGCTTTGTCAGTATGCACATCTGACGTGGAGGTTTTGTTGCACCAGTTGAGTTTTCTCTGTGTGCCAGTGAATTTATGTGTAGCTGTCATAGGCTCCGCATGATGATGGGCTTTGTGTGTCACTGGCACACTATTTTGACTTGGGAGGATGGCAGGAGGACAGATCTCCTAGCATCATCTGCAGCGTCCCCCCTGCCCCTTCGCCTCCCCCCCCCCCCCCTCCCCCTGACGACCGTTGGTGTCATGTGACGGATTACCAGGAGCCCCTGCTGCCGATGTGCCAGCCGCGAGAAGGCCGCGCGCTGAGCGTTTGTGTTGCCGCTGTGGTGGCGGCAGGTGCCGGAGGAGCGGTTCCAGTCGGAGGTGTGGCCTGAGCTGAGCGTGCTACTGGCTCGTGGCTGGCACCAGTGCGTGCCCGAGCGGCTCTGGCTGCTGCTCGTCTGTCGCCGCCAGTTCCCCGCCGTCTGCGACACGCCGTTCCTCAAACAGCACTGGGGCTCCAAGAAGCTGCTCTCGCCCAAGAACCACACTGCCATCGCCGAGATGATCAAGGTGAGCCGCTGCTGGCATGCATGCTGGTAAGCTGCTGCCGGATGGCAAGCGGCTTAAAGGAACAATCATGGGCCACAAGTACTTAAAGTATGTGCTGTGCGACGTCAGTGGCCGGGATATTTTTGAAATAACAAGCATTTGATAGAAGGACAGCTGTTTGTGCTGGGCAGGGGAATGCAAAGTGTCTCTCACTGAGCACGGAAGCGCACGCATATTTCACGTGATTTGTATATGTTCCTGTAATGCGTCTACCGAATGAACCACGTCAAATGCGCGGTACTTGTGCACCCAACGCCTTTGTATAGCGGGGCACAGTCAGCTCCACATGCCGTGCGAAGTGCCGTCGTCGCCTGCGGCGCCGGTCGCGGCGTGGGCGGTCGTTATGCCGCCTGACGCCGGCGTTGCGCAGGCGTCCGCCGCCACCCTGCCGGCTATCCACCCGCTGGTGACATCGCTGGTGGCGTTTGCCGTGGAGCGGCCGGCCGCCGAGCTGGTGGAGCTGCATCAGCGCGTGCTGGAGCCGCTGTTGGAGGACCGCACCGCCGCCTTGCTCGTCATGGCCATGCTGCAGATGGTGGTGCCCCACCTCACCACGCCCGAGCTGGTGAGCGCCGTCGCCGCCGCCGCTACCCGAGCGCTGGGACGCGTGTAGGGTCACTGCCCGCCCGTGAGTCACGGACGGACAGTGAGCCCGGTCACAGCCCGTGACTGTTCTGCCTCGCCGTGTGGGGTATCCGCACACCCGCAGGGGCGGTGTTGTGGGCGCGCGGCGGCGTTTGCACTGTTACTTCTCTGTTCGGTATCATTGGCTCGTTAATCACTCGCGCAAAAGCTACTGGTGGCGTGTCGTCGTCCGCCAACGGCCTCCAGCCGGACCGTGCCGCGTCCGCCGCCTGTCAGCCGGTGACGCCGCCGTCCGCGCCGCCAGCTGGCGTCGGTGCTGAGCCCAGCCATGGTGGGCGCGCTGGTACGGCTGCTGCCCAAGCGGGACCAGCGGACGGAGCAGGCAGCTCGCGGCCTCGGCTCGGCGTTGGTCAGCCTGCTGCTGGCGCCCGACAGCGACGCCCAGCTGCAGTTGGCGCTGGTCGGCCGCCTCGTCAGCCCTCCCGGCTCCATTAACTTCGACCACATGACTGGTGAGACGCCGGTGCTGCTCGGGTGTCGCGTGACGGACGGCTCGGACCTCTGACGTGACATGACGGGCTGCCTGGACCTTGGACGTCACGTGACGGACGGCTCGGACCTCTGACGTGACATGACGGGCTGCCTGGACCTTGGACGTCACGTGACGGACGGCTCGGGCCTCTGACGTGACATGACGGGCCGCCTGGACCTCGGACGTGACGTGACGGGCTGCCTGGACCTCGGACGTGACGTGACGGGCTGCCTGGACCTCTGACGTGACGTGACGGGCTGCTCTGACGTGACGTGGCGGGCTGCTCTGACGTCGCGTGACGGGCTGCCTGGACCTCGGACGTCACGTGACGGGCTGCTCTGACGTGACGTGGCGGGCTGCTCTGACGTCGCGTGACGGGCTGCCTGGACCTCGGACGTCACGTGACGGGCTGCTCTGACGTCGCGTGACGGACTGCTCTGACGTCGCGTGACGGGCTGCTCTGACGTGACGTGACGGGCTGCTCTGACGTGACGTGACGGGCTGCTCTGACGTCGCGTGACGGGCTGCTCTGACGTGACGTGACGGGCTGCTCTGACGTCGCGTGGCGGGCTGCTCTGACGTCGCGTGACGGACTGCTCTGACGTCGCGTGACGGGCTGCTCTGACGTGACGTGACGGACTGCTCTGAGGTGACGTGACGGGCTGCTCTGACGTGACGTGACGGGCTGCTCTGACGTCGCGTGACGGGCGGCTCTGACGTGACGTGACGGGCTGCTCTGACGTGACGTGACGGGCTGCTCTGACGTCACGTGACGTGACGGGCTGCTCTGACGTGACGTGACGGGGCTGCTCTGACGTGACGTGGCGGGCTGCTCTGACGTGACGTGACGGACTGCTCTGACGTGACGTGACGGGCTGCCTGGACCTCGGACGTGACGTGACGGGCTGCTCTGACGTGACGTGACGTGATCCGATCCTCAGGTCTCGGTCCATTTGCCTTGCTCCCCGCGCATAGATGCTGGATCGACCGCCATCTGGCTTGATGTTAAACGGTTGATCGTGAGCGAGGTAGGAGTTACAGAAAGTGGACCTCAATATACTTGTGCAATAATGGCATGGAAAAGATTTATCCCCTTGACACCCAAATGGCTGAGCTTTGCCACACTGGCTGGGGCGGCGGTAGGTTAGCCAGCTGTTGCGGCTCTGTCATCAGTGGTGCATAACAGATGAAATGCCACATGATTGTCGTCATTGGGCGCATCCGATGAATGTCTGGTATTTGTTCTGCTTATATGTATAACGTATAACGTATTTATGTGTAAACATTTAGTTGGTAGTGCAATGTCCATGTTGTCAGCGGAGACCTGTTGTGTCCGTGCGTCTAACCCAACCCAGGTTACCTGAATTTCAGTCGAATGGACCATACAGGGTTTATTGCACAGCAGCTGAGGCTTGTTGAAAAGTGTTTGGTGCTAATCGGAGTATGACACGACCGCTGCCGCTGCTCGCTTGCAGGCACGAAAATCCTGGCCCAGATGATCAACGGCCTGAAGGCTGAGGCGCTGGAGCCGTTCAGCGAGATCGCCATCAGCGCCTTCAACGGCACGCAGGATGACCGTAACCAGGTGAGACGGATGATTTGTGTGCGTTGGTGTGCGCGTGGGTGGCTTCTATGGACGGGCGGCGGTCACGCGTGCGCCATCGCCGCGAGCTTCGGGCGCGGGCGTGCTCACGGGGCGTGGGCGTGGGTGGCTTCTATGGACGGGCGGCGGTCACGCTTGCGCCATCGCCGCGAGCCTCGGGCGCGGGCGTGCTCACGGCTGTGGGCGTGGGCGGCTTCTATGGACGGGCGGCGGTCATACGCGCGCCATCGCCGCGAGCCTCGGGCGCGGGCGTGCTCACGGGTGTGGACGTGGGTGGCTTCTATGGACGGGCGGCGGTCACGCGTGCGGCCATCGCCGCCGATCCTCGGGCGCGGGGCGTGCTCACGGGTGTGGGCAGTGGGTGGCTTCTATGGACAGGCGGCGGTCATACGCGCGTCGTCCATCGCCGCGAGCCTCGGGCGCGGGCCGTGCTCACCGGGTGTGGGCGTTGGTGGCTTCTATGGACGGGCGGCGGTCATACGCGCGCCATCGCCGCGAGCCTCGGGCGCGGGCGTGCTCACGGGTGTGGGCGTGGGTGGTTCTATGGCACGGGCGGCGGTCACGCTTGCGCCATCGCCGCGAGCCTCGGGCGGGGGCGTGCTCACGGGCGTGGGCGTGCATCCGTGTCTCCTGCATCAGCGCACCGAATGGAACGGCAAATACGTTGAAAGCCATTTTAAAGAAGTTGCTTAGGGTTCTTCCAAGAGTATCGTGTCATCATCGTCCTCGAAAGACAGTCGTTTCCAGCGAACGGAACACCCGCCCGGCATCAACGCCACCACCGGGCTGTTGTCTCAGCCGCCGCCCCTCCACCACCGGGCTGTTGTCTCAGCCACCGCCCCTCCGACGCCGCTCGCCCCCGTCTCTGACGGCCACCCCTGACTCCGCCGCATCTGACACTGCCCCTGACTGCCACCCTTGACGCCGTCCGCCCGCGCCGGCAGACGCCGCGCGGCCGGGCCGTGGCGTGCGATATACTGTGTCGGCTGGTGCAGCACCCGAGCGTGCCCGGCCCCAGCCCGCTGAAGCAGCGCCTGCTGCAGCGGCTCTTCACTGCCGGCGCCACGTGCGACCCGGACGTACCCGATGAGCTGGCCGCCACCGCGCTGCGCGCCTTCTTCAGGTGGGTCAGCCTGGTCGCCGGTCAGCTCAGGCCGCCCCGCCTAGCCGCTGGCCAGCTCAGGCCGCCCCGTCTGGCCGCTGGCCAGCTCCGGCCGGCTCGCCCAGCCGCTGGCCAGCTCCGGCCGGCTCGCCCAGCCGCTGGCCAGCTCAGCCGCCGGCGAGGGCACGGCGTGCGGATTGCAGTCCAGGAGCGGGAGGGAAGTGGTTTTGTCGTCGTGTCTGTAAGGAAACGTCTTCCCCATGGCTTCGAGGCTTGGGCGGTCGATGCTTCTGTCGCGCTGAGTTGTGTCCAGCCGCCTGGTTGTGAACTCGTTATTGAAGGTGGAGCAATCGTTCGAACTATCGTCCTAGTTCAGGCGGGGACGATGTTCCGCACACTTCGTTCATCCATTATGCTGGTATCTTTCCGCTAAACTAGTGTCTTCATAGCTTCATTTCTGGACGGTACCACACGAGACCGTTGTCCGGCTCCCCGGCGCCGCTGCGCCACCACTCGCAGCCGCGCCACGCTCGCCCCCGACCGTCGCTCGCGCCGCCGACAGGGCGCTGGACCACCCGGTGCGGCGGCTGTCCGACCTGACCGGCCTGCTGCGCGCGCTGACGGCGTACCAGGACGCCCTGCTGCGCGCCGCCGGACGTGACGCTGCGCGGTGCCGCTCGCGCCGGCCGCCTGGCAGGCGTGGGAGGCGGCGGCGGCGACGCTGCGCCGGTTGCGGCCCGGCGCCGGCGCCGAGACGGACGTGTTCGTCATCCTGCTGGCGCATCTCAGCCAGCAGCTGTTCGGCGCCGACTGTGACGCCGCTGTGGAGGCTCTGCAGGTGGGCGGGGGGAGGGGGGGGGGCTGGCCCGGAGGTCACGTGGGGGGAGCGGTGCTGTCGTGCTGGTGGTTTTGGGTGTTGTGTAGTGGGTTTAATCCCGGGTGCTCTCATGGCTCTGATCTGGGCCCAATGAGCCTTTGGTACTGCCGTGGCCTCCGTTAGCTGCATGGCGCGTGACTGATGCCTTGCCCGTCCACCATCACCGCTACAGGATGTGGCATCTACCCGCCCCATGGACCTGCTGCTCTCTGGACCTGTTTGATGCTATCATTTCGACGTTTTTGTACTCTTAGAAGCGTACGTTTGCCCTCTGCTGGGGTGCGAAATTTATAAGTTAAACTCATCGTAAATGTGGTGCGTTATTTAAATTATGCAACGGAATTAGCAGCATTTGCGTCGGATAGAAAACTGTAGCTACTGGAAACTTCAAACGATGCCCGTTGAGCTGTCTTTGAATGTATGGCTTCGGTATGAATCGTATGATTGTTCCCGCCGTCTGTGCAAGAAGCACATCACGCCGCCCGTGCCAGCCGAGGTGACGGGGCGGCTGTGCTGACGCCGGCGCCGGCGCGTCGCCGCCGCAGGAGCTGCACGCCTGCCTGCAGCGGCAGCAGGGCCGACGGCCGACGGCCGACGGCGGCGACGAGCCCGACTGGAGCGAGGTGGTGGCCGACCTGCTGCTCTCGCTGCTCTCACTCAGCGTGCACCTGCTGCGCAGCGTGGTTCGCGCCGTGTTCGGCCTGCTGGCGCCGGCGCTGTCGCGGCCCGCCGTGCTGCACGTGTTCCAGGTGCGGGGCGCGCACCGTCGGCAAGGGTGCACGCCGCGGCGGGTGCCGGCGTGCTGTCGTGGGAGGCGGCAGTGCAAGGCTGGGGCGCGCGTGCGCACAGAGGCGCGGCCGCTGGTGGAGGACGTTCTCGAGTTTGGTCTAAGCATGAGTGGCGTGGGTATGGTTAGGATCAGTCGGACCTGAAGACAGCCGGTATGTCTGCATGACGCCCGGTGGGGCTGGCGGTCACGCTCCGGCGTTTACTATTGGTTCAGTTGTACCCACTTCATTCTCCAAACAACGTCAGCTTTTCGAGATGCCAGGCAGAGTCGTGACGTAGCCGCCCGTGCCAAGTGTTGCTCTTGTCCTCCTTGTCGAGCAATCTCGACCGCTTAGGAAGAAATCAACCTCACGTGGCTGATGTGCCACGGAATCACTGCATCTGGTACTCGCTGCGAGGGGAAGCCTGTTGCTGGATCTGTTATTTTACCTTCGTGTCAATTGATCTGAAAAGGATGCACGTTGTACAATATTAAGACCATGCTGAGTATGCCGGTAGCAGGAATGCCTTAGCCTACTGAGTACGTGCCGTCAGCGATCAGGCTCAGTTCGATCCGCTGGGACGTGTCTAAGTTTGCCATTGTGTTGGACTGCCAAGTGTTCACTCCGTTTTGTGAGGTAACATCGCTTTTCGTTGCTTTTCAGTGCCTGGACCCGCAGTATAGCATGAATGGTGGGAGGGGCCATGCTGTCGAAAATGACGGAAGTGAGCAGGAAGATAGCGACGAAGACTGGAGGCTGAGGATTTCCGAAGGAGGCGAGGAGGAGGAAAGAGGATGAAGACGACAGTGACGTTGAGGACGGGGAGGAGGATGGCGAAGCGCAAGACGAACTGGACGCCATGCGGGCCAAAGGTCAAAGCGGCGCTGGGGGATGACTCGGACGACGCTGTAAGCACGGACGCGGGGGGCCCAGCCCATGTGCTGTCGTCCGTACGCACCGGTTTAGTAGTACGGACGCGCGGGGCCCAGCCCGTGTCCTGTCGTCCGTACGCACCGGTGTAAGTACGGACGCGGGGGGCCCAGCCCATGTGCTGTCGTCCGTACGCCCGGTGTAAGCACGGACGCGCGGGGGCCCAGCCCGTGTGCTGTCGTCCGTACGCACCGGTGTAGGCACGACGCGCGGGGCCCAGCCCGTGTCCTGTCGTCCGTACGCACCGGTGTAAGCATGGACGCGGGGCCCAGCCCATGTGCTGTCGTCCGTACGCACCGGTGTAAGCACGGACGCGGGGCCCAGCCCGTGTCCTGTCGTCCGTACCCGGTGTAAGCACGGACGCGCGGGGCCCAGCCCATGTGCTGTCGTCCGTACGCACCGGTGTAAGCACGGACGCGCGGGGCCAGCCCATGTGCTGTCGTCCGTACGCACCGGTGTAAGCACGGACGCGGGGCCCAGCCCATGTCCTGTCGTCCGTACGCACCGGTGTAAGCACGGACGCGCGGGGCCCAGCCCGTGTGCTGTCGTCCGTACGCACCGGTGTAAGCACGGACGCGCGGGGCCCAGCCCGTGTCCTGTCGTCCGTACGCGCCGGTGCACACCCACCAGTCACGGCCACCAGCTGTTCCCATATGTGTGGTCAGGCGCGGCCCCCTGTGTCCGCGATGTTACACGAGAGTGGGCATGCTGGCAAGCTCAGAACCGTGCTACCTTCGTTTTCGAACAGATGACTAGGGCCGCTTTACATGTATCTACGCAGGCACCAGCAGAGACTGCCGCTGGCAGTATAGCCGGTGCTCGCGTCACTCCATCGGGCTTCGAGCCAGCCCCGGTCCTTTACTTCGTCAGGTGTCGCTCACTCTGCGTGTGACTGCCCCCTCCCCCTACCTGCTGGCGTGGTGAATGATCTCCCACCCTGTGGCCAACTCCCCCCCCCCCCCCCTCCCGGGCAGGTTTCGATCGATATGGACGATGTGCCCGAGGAGCACTTCGCCAAGATGGACGAGGCGCTGGCGGCGGCGTTCCGTGCCATGCGTAAGGACAAGCGCATGAAGCGAGGCGGCCGCCAGACAGACGAGGAGCAGGCGCTCATGCACTTCAGGATCAGGTGGGACGCGGGACGGCGGGACAGGGTCAGTGGGACGCGGGGACGTCGGGTCAGGGTCAGGTGGGACGCGGGGACGGCCGGGTCAGGATCAGGTGGACGCGGGGACGGCCGGGTCAAGGTCAGGTGGGAGGGGACGGCCGGGTCAGGATCAGGTGGGACGAGGGACGGCCGGGGTCAGGGTCAGGTGGGACGCGGGGACGGCGGGTCATCTGGGACGCGGGGGGGGGTCAAGGTATGGGACGGGGACGGGTGAGGGTCAGGTGGGACGCGGGTGAGGGGCAGGTGTGGGACGCGGGACGGCCGGGTCAGAGTCAGGTGGGACGCGGGGACGGCCAGAACAGGGTCAGGTGGGACACGGGGACGGCCGGGACAGGGTGAGGTGGGACGCCAGTTAGGTGCGGGGCGGGCGTGACGCACTGCATGGCGGAGGAGATGTGAGTGACAGAGATGCGGGGAGCGGTTCTCAAGAGTGGTGAGCCTGTGATGCACAGTTTGGTTTTGTTGGATGCTGAGCACTGCGAGAGCCGTTTATCGCTGGCTATGACCCAGGCTGTGGTCTGTTCACTCACCTCTGTCAACACGAAGCATGGCGGTTTTGTACAGCCCGCTGGTGAGATATTTGTACCGCGTAGTCGGGATGCGTGCGTTAATCGTGCAAATTTACTCGCTCCGCTTAAAGCCGCGCCTAGTTTTACAGAGGTTCCCATCCTTCCCACACATGGCTGGGGACATGTATGCGTGGTGGTGGTGGAGCGCGTTGCCGCCTGCGAGCCCGCCCCGCTGCCGCTGACAGTGCCGTCCGTCCGCCGGCGTCGCCGCCGCCGGCAGGGTGCTGGACCTGGCCGACGTGTACGTGCGTAACGTGTCCGCGCTCGCTGGCGGCGCTGGACCTGCTCCCGCTGCTGGTGGCGCTGCTGGCCGCCACGGCCGCCGACCGGCGCCAGGCGCCGCTGGTGGCCCGCCTGCGCGCCTGCCTGGGTCGCCTGACGGCCGGCGCCGGCCGCCTGCCCGACGGCCACCAGCTGACGGCGCCGCTGCTGGCCGAGCTGCTGGAGGTGGTGCTGCGCAGCGGCGGGCGGTGTGAGTACAGCTCCGCAGGGACGGAGGCGGAGGCGCGGTGATGATGACACGGGATGGGGAGCATGGGACTGGCAGCGGGGTGGTGAGGGCGAGACAAACAATTAGTGGCCTGCGACCGTTCTTGGTGATCTGGTTTTGTCGTCAGCTTCTTTCTCATTGGATCCTCGCATTCATATAGGCTGGCTCAATGGGTCTGTGAGGCGACTTCTCGGCTTTGTCACCGGCGGTTTTTGCTCTAGATATGTCGTGAATGCATACAAGCTGGCTCAATACGTGTGCTGTAAGTTGGAGTGCCGGTAATTCCTGTCTTGAAAGACGCATCCTTGGATTTTTAACGAGGTTTTGTCCCCGCTGTCTTGTTTTTTTTTTGGGGGGGGGGGGCAAAATGACCACTGATCCATGCGCACTCTAAAGCACCAGTTATGTGTTGATCGTGGCCTGCAGTGTTCACCATGGCCTTTACCCGTTATGTCATTGCTCGCCATCCCACCGCCTATTCCACCTCCATTCGTCGCCCTCCCCCCGCACGACGGAAGCGCGGCGACATCGCACTCGGCCGATGCCGCACGCGGCAGATCACGCCGGCCGTGGCGAGCGTCTGGCCGCAACGTCACGAGCGCTGCCGCGCCGCCGCCGGCAGTGCCGGCGCTGAGTCTGGAGCTGGGCGGCCTGCTCTCGGCGGCCGTGCGGTTCCTGGTGCGGAACCAGCGCCCAGCTGGAGGACGACCAGGCGCCCGTCACCGACGCGCTTCTCGCCGCGCTCGACGCCTTTCTTCACCGACCGGTGAGGCCTGCTGTCCGGGCTCTGGCGGCCGGCGCTCAGGCTGGCGGTGGTCACGGTGTCATGGGCAGCGCATCCAGGCGGGTCAAAGGGGTAGGGAAGCAGAGGCAGCTGAGCATGACTGGGAATGGGCCCGCTAGGAGTGTGGCCTGTGAGATCAGCGCCGCCTCATTAGGCGGCTCTCAGTGAGGCGCCGCCCTTGTGGGACTCCCGCGCTGGACACGAGGCGGCGCTGGCGTGGGATCTTCAGTGCGGTGCTCATGGTTATGACGTGCGATGTGTCAAATGAAATACTTTTCGTGGTTGTGAGGTGGCCAGCCCGTGAGAGAGGGCGGCTCTCCGACGGCGGGAGCTTTCCCGTCAACGTCTTATTCACATGGGACGTGTGCAAATTTTTGCGGGTGTCTGTTTCGTGTACATATCGGCGTCGTTGAGGATGCGTTGCTTCCTTCGCTAGCTCCTTCCTTGGAAGTAACTTTTACCCCGAAGATGTCGCCACTGGCTTGTCCACGTAAATTATCACTCAGCTACCCTCCGAAGAGGCATTCATTCAGTTACCTGTCCGGTCGGCCAGGTGCGTGGACGGAAGACAATCTCTCCTCGGTAATGGCTCATGGACCCAACCCTGTCGTCCGCGCCCGGCGGCAAATTTCTGAGGGTAGTAATCTGTGGTGCGAACGCTGCTGACATCTCTTGGAGGCCTCGTGAACTACGAACATGTGTACTCATCAAAAGAGCAATCACCGGGCGTGGTTGCCAGGCGCTTGGCAGGTATGGTATTAAAAAAGGCCTCTGAACAGGTCTGTTGACTCCGTTTTTTCGGATGTGATGCTCAACAATGCATCAATATGCGATGCGGTGTAAGAATGCCGCAATCGTAACATCCCGGAACGTGCAAAAAAAATTTGAAGCCAACAAAATTATTAGTCCGTTCATACCAAGCTGGAATTTGGCATCTTGTGGATCGTCAATGTAAATGATAAATGCTGTATTCTGTGGTCTCTGCGTCGCTTGTCTAGCAGGACCTGCGCATTATTTGGCTATACGCAAGCTGTAATGAAATGGAATTTCATTCAGCGACAAAGACATGGTAGTTTCTATGTTCGGACCTCTGTGTCAAAATTTGGTGGAGATCCGGTTGTTGTGTCCGGACTTGCCCAACTTGCATTTACCTTCCATTCACAAACCGTCACACATGCCATACCAACATACCTTCCGTTGGCTTTTCTTTATCACGGCACCATTAAGGA